ATACAAATATATATATATATATATATATATATATATATATATTCAAATCTATGATTTAACGATTGCATTGAACGTCCCTAATAACACATCCACTGCACTCACCTCGATATGCGCTACAGAGTTTTCTTTATAAAAACTTCAGCTGAGCTCAATCCATCAACACTCATCTAAACGCTCCTGTGAGGATTCAACTGTTTAAATGGACTCACAGCAGCCAATCAGCGGCAGCGGAGTGCCACAGAAACGTTGCGAGATTTGCTGGTTACAACAGGCGCGAGATTTTATGAGACTTGTGTGTTTTGCAGTGTTGCCAAGTCCGCGGTTTTCCCGCGGAATTGTGCTAATTTAACACTGTTGCTGCTGGTTGTTTTTAATTTTTTCATTTAAGGTATCTGCCAAGTCTCTTTACACACTCCTGTACAGTAGGTGGTGATATGCAATAATTACAAGTTGCAAAAGCCAAGAAAAAAGAAGAAGTTGTTTTTCATGTCCTCGGGTTGAAGCGACACCATTGAGCAGCAATTGGGCGGGTTTTGTTGTGAAAACCTGGCAACCCTGGTGTTTTGTAACACTTGGAAGTGAGAGATTGTAAATAAAAACCTATTTATTGTCGTGTTTATACGTGTTAATTATGTAAGAATACGTTGTAACTATATAACGAACCCCAGCGGAGTGAAGCGGTGTTATGTTTTGAGTTGTACGGGTGTTGATTGTTTTGAGTGCACGGGTGTTGATTGTTTTGAGTGCACGGGTGTTGATTGTTTTGAGTGCACGGGTGTTGATTGTTTTGAGTGCACGGGTGTTGATTGTTTTGAGTGCACGGGTGTTGATTGTTTTGAGTGCACGGGTGTTGATTGTTTTGAGTGCACGGGTGTTGATTGTTTTGAGTGCACGGGTGTTGATTGTTTTGAGTGCACGGGTGTTGGTGTTGATTGTTTTGAGTGCACGTGAGCCGGAAAGAGAATTGATTAGTTCATCTCTCGAGTCTTCGGGTTTTTCGAGTCATTCGTTCATCACATAACAGCCCCATAAGTTTAACCAATGCAGTCTGAGCTGGAAAGAGAGTTGATTAGTTCATCTTTCGAGTCTTCGGGTTTTTCGAGTCGATCGTTCATCACGTGACAGCCCCATAAGTTTACCCTATGCAGTCTGAGCCGGAAAGAGACTTCATGATAATAACCAACTCTTTATTTCCTTTGTTACAACATTCAGTGTTATGGAAAAGAACCATAATGACAGAAATTCACACATTTATAAACAAGACTCGAGAGATGAACTAATCAATTCTCTTTCCGGATCAGACTGCATTGGTTAAAGCGTATGGGGCTGTCACGTGATGAACGAACGACTCAAACCCGAAGTTTTGAGCGTACGGGTGTTGATTGTTTTGAGTGTACGGGTGTTGGAGTTGATTGTTTTGAGTGTACAGGTGTTGATTGTTTTGAGTGTATGGGTGTTTATTGTTTTGAGTGTACAGGTGTTGATAGTTTTGAGCGTACGGGAGTTGATTGTTTTGAGTGTACGGCTGTTGTTGTTGATTGTTTTGAGTGTATGGGTGTTGATTGTTTTGAGTGTATGGGTGTTGATTGTTTTGAGTGTACGGGTGTTGGTGTTGATTGTTTTCAGTGTACGGGTGTTGGTGTTGATTGTTTTGAGTGTATGGGTGTTGATTGTTTTAAGTGTAGAAGTGTTGATTGTTTTGAGTTGATGGGTGTTGGTGTTGATTGTTTTGAGTGTACGGGTGTTGGTGTTGATTGTTTT